GCGCTGATTGGTTAACTCGGAGGTGATTAGCAAGGTACTATTCACCTCCACTTCTGTGAATAATTTTTAAATTTTCGGCTGCATCAGTTTTTCATGCGTCTGCCCTGTTATTGGTCATGAATTTCGTCATAACATTTTTCAAAGTAGCTGTGTATCCATGAGGCATGAAAAACTGACGTCAATTTCTCTTTTGCAATTGACTAGACTTTCTTTAAGTAAAAGTGCGAGTGAAATGCTTGAACGAAAACGATCCCGAAACGTACGGCGTCATAAATTTCAAACTACATTCAATAACTCCAAAACAGAATGCAGAGACAGAAGTTCTATAGCTAACCTTTATTCCATTCGGAAATTCTTGAAAGCCCGCTGAATTATTAACAAGTTCAGTCCGCTTGTTTTACTTTGAACACGGAAAAATTAAACAGATTCCATCCAATCTGAACAAAAATTCACCTTAAAAACAATTTCGATAATTTTCTCTTTAAAGTTGTTTCGTTTGGTTGCAATTTGTAGTTTACTTTCGAGAATTAAACAGCGCTGAACTGTAAATACTGAGTTTGGCGAAGTTTTCAAGATCCCCGCGCAAGTGCGGTATCCATAGCGATTCATGTCACGCCTGATGATAAAAATTTGCCAATCAGCGCGCGAAAATTCACTCAGTTATTGTAAAAAAATATTTGATGGATAATAAATGCCGATATAGTTGAGAGCGCACCGATACTTCATGAATATCAGTTGCTACTTGTTTATTTATTTATTTATTTATTTATTTATTTTATTCCTCCAATTCCTGGCTGATACATAGATATGTAAATATAACGTAAAAAAAGTAAATAGTAATCGATAGAGCTTTATAGGGAAGAAAAAACGCATAAAACAGGAATTACATCACTTAAATTGAATTACATTGTATATTAGGAGAGGAGAGTTGCTACTTGGTAAATACCTCGATCGATACTCGTCCCAAACGGCATATCACCGATACTTCATCGAGTACCGGGTAGGACGTGCTATAATATTGGTTATATTGGTTATTATTTTCGACTCTCGTTTATGCATTTCTTATTTATACTGTTCAGCAAACCTAAACTATACAGTGGTTGACAATCGAGTGTTGAAAGCAATTTCGCTTTTTATTTATTTAGTTTTGAATTACTATGCTCTGTGATTGCGCCAATTTCTCAACGAATCTGTGAGCGTTTTTTTTTTGGAGGCATTGCGTTGTTTTGCGTTTATTGTGATTTGCCCGATTATTACTTTGGTTTTGGTTTTACAAGCAACTGAAAACTGCTCTAATGGCACTTATACTACCATTAATTTTTTAAACTTTGTTTGAGTTTTGATTTGACCGTACAGCATATTCAGTACAGGCATTGATTTAATCACGGCTGATTTTATTGTGTGTTTTCCTGTATCCCTATGAGGCACCCACCCAACACAATAAATGTCAAAAACTGAGATGTGAGTTACTTTTTATTTACTAGACAATGTATCACAACTGATTCTTATATAGGTCTATATAATATTTTAAGTGATGTATGTAGTTTATGACTAGATGGCCTCGAATCTATTTTGGGGTTGAGATTATTCGCAAGAAAAAGAAGCTTTTCCGTCCTTCTAAGAGGTCATTCCCTTATCGAATTCCTATCAAACTGCTTAGATGTGCAATATAAATGGTAGTATCTAACATTTGAAACTGACAGGGGCTAGGTCATTCTCAAAAATTGCTGTAAAACAAAAGCAACATTCAAAATTCGATAAAAAACCAAACACGGAATGCCATAAAATTTGATAGGCAACATTTGTTTCATTCCAATGGTGTCACTGTAGTTTAGAGTGAAGGCTGTTAATTCTTTCTTGAGTAAACAGTACATGCCAAGATTTTTGGGTTCTACAAGCTATGACCTAACCCCGTATTTCATTTTCTTAATTCGTTACAACAGTTTCATCGAGGACGGCGAACTAGAAGTGAAAGATGGGTGCTTGGCCTCTTCGGCACGCAACATCAACCTGCACGACCTTATCTGCAGCTTGTTAGGAGAAGAAATGCTGCCACCCTTCTGCCAATAATTCGGCAAAGAGTAAGTCCTGGTACCATTGTTCACACTGATCAGTGGGCTGCTTATAACAGAATTCAGAGGGACCTGGCTTTAAACCACCAAACTGTAAATCACTCCGTTAATTTTGTGGACCCGGCAACGGGTGTGCATCAGTACAGAATGCAGAAAGCAACTGGAGTACTGCAAAGGAAAAGCTAAAAAAAATGAAGGGAAACAGTAATAGCAATTTTCTTCAAGAATATTTACAGGAATTCATGTGGAGACGTTGGTATGGAGAACCACACCCAAATGGTTGCTGTCAAAGAATCTTGCTAGACATCGCCGAACAATATCCCCTGTAATTACACTCTAGAGGCTACTATAAACCACGGTGCAATTGTGGTTTGCAGATTTTTATTGTCTGCTTTGCATATGATGTGTCAGAAACGATATTAGTGAGTGAGAAATGTTGCAAAGACACTGACGGTTTTTAAAAAGCTCAGACACAATATCGCAGAATTTAGGCAAATCTTAAGCTTTACTGTATTTCACGCCAGTTTATTGTTTTTGTTGTAATTTTATATAAAAAAATAATACATTTAAGTGTCATAATTGCGATTTAATTAGAATGCTTATCTACTTCAACTTTTTACAGGCTGATTCATGTCTTAAAATCTTGAAAAAATGTTGTTGCAATATGAAATTCGTTTTTTTTGTTAGAGTTTTTTAAGTCATTATTCCATTAATTTAGGGAAATGTTTCTCCATTTATAAACATTTTAAGTAAATACAATGTCTACCAAAAGCAGAAAATTAAGAGCGCAAAAATTAAAATGTCTATTTTTATTAAACAACTTGACTTTTCAAGTTAATGCGAATAACCCAGTCTCTCATATTTTTCCTCTCTCGTGCTTTCTTTATTGCTCTTGTAAATGACATATCGGCCGATATGTCGATCGAGGTACTGTAAAACTTATCCGACAAAGGTCGATAG